CGGAAAATTAACTAACGAACGGAGACGTAACAATATACATGATTTTATTGTACCATGTCGAATAAATTAATCTGAATTGAATTTAATATCTCCCCTTTGACACTTCTGATAAAAATGTCAACTGTCAAAAATCGTCACTTCAGCAGTGGTATTTTCTGGTGCTCAGTAAAATGACAGAAACGGTGGTATCCAATGAGAAAACTCCTTGTGGCTATTTAGCAAATCTGAGTGCTCTATTGGTTTGGATACACCAAGTGCATAGGAACCCAGACATTTTTGCCAACAACACATTGCAGCCAGTCTCCTCTGCTTAAAAACAAATCCAATGCAATTTTCCCTATGGAAATGAAAATGGAATGAAAAAATTCGGTTGAAAACGGCCCATAGACAACCATGTTGCATATACACTATAATTCAACAGATTGGGTTGACTGCACATCTTTTATTTATTCATCGCCATTTTTAGGAAATCTGCCACTGAATTGTTTCAATGAGCATCTATTAAAATTAGCCCTCTGATCCATGTGGAATTTTCAGGTGGTCCAAACTGAGCTATCCAGTGCTCCACCAGTGTACCAGCCACACACTATACAAACTTATTGACCAATGGATAATCCAGTTGCTCTTCCTGGAACTTTAAAGGTGTTAATCATGGCACCATTCCACTACTGGAATCTCCTAATGTGTGGCTTGTTATCACTATAGAGAAATGGTCTCAACTCCCAGAATTAGGACATTCAATGAATTGACAGGGTCTCACTGTTTGGTGACACAATCTATCTGTGCTTCTGTGTTGTGGGCTCAAACAATACTGTATGATCAAAGGTTACTCCTCCAATGCTGTTGTCCAGCATGCTATCATCTCTTTCAGTTTTTAAAGTTCATCAACCACTTTAGTGAAGCATGGTCCACTCAAACAGTGAACTTTGCACCTTATAAATACTGCTAAAAGTGTTTTGTGAAACTTAGCACTGCAAAAAGATCCTTTTTTCTCATAATGTATCTCTAGCATATGTTATTACACGTTCTACTCAATCCTGTAAATGTGATAACACTGCTCCAAATCCACTATCACTGGTATCAGTGTTTACACAGGAACTCACGATCCTAGCAAACTTCAGGGATTGGAATGCTTGCTCACATATTCTTGCTCCATCTGACATATTATGAAATTGGTCATAAATAGATCTGCTTTCATAATCTAGTTCGACTTGAGAGTATCTGAATGCCAAGGCTAGCATATTGAACCAACAGACCTTTAAACACATCCAGAAATTCATCTATTTGCATCGATGCTGTAAATACATAAGAACATCCTGTCAGCAAGTAACTGAGTTTCTGCTGCTGCATTTTGTCTAGATTGTCTGCACAATTTTCATCTAACAATCTCAGATGTATTGGTATCTGTGTATTTACTTCCACATTGCTCACTGTGCTGATGACCATTACAGCTTATTGCTTGATAACTAATATTCTGTAATTGTAGAACAACACTGAGACTTCATCTCTCCTTGGACAAATAACGAACCAAGAAAATGCTGTTTGCTTTCTGGACACAAAATAGTCTTTTTCTTGCATGATTTCCATAACCCTGTTACATGACACAAATGCACTAAGCATTTCTGCAATAAACTAGAGAATACCTCTTGCTTACACGTGGATACTGTGACTTGTGCAGTCCACTGTTCCTTAGGTCCCTTTGTCCAACATTGGAAACTATCATGGAATATCAGATCACCTATCAGACAGACAAAATTGACTGATAAGCTCCACAGTACATCTATTCCTAAAATGTCACTACCATAGTCGAGGTTGGCAACAACTACCTTCATTCTGTAAGCAAAACCTCAGAGACATACTCAGGGCATGATCTCTCCATTCACTGGCGCAAGTTTCATGTTGATAGACCCTAGTAGTGGTTTCGCTCAGAGTGCCTAACATTCTTGAAGATCTACCTATATTCTAGCCACTCTTATACCAATCACAAACTTTATCATTCGTCTTTTACCCTGACAGGCACGTACCACTGAGCTATAAAACAGCTGGGATGATCACCACACTTTTTGGTACCTAGCTGTTAATTTCACTCCTGCTATTGGCTCTCCTGAACCTGTTGCATCATTGGTCAAAACCAATAACCTAGTCTAGCTTGGTGTTCCACAGTGTAGGGCATTACACTCAAAAGTGACCCAATGCTCCATATACAAGGCATGTGCTTCACTCCTTCCTTCCAAGATGATGTCCAGGCACAGACATTGAGAACATATGCTGCATCATATAAACTATTTGATAGAGTGGGATAACCCTGCCCATTCATTGAATACCACTGTGGTTCTGTTACAGTGGCATAATGTATTGGTGATAGGTTAATCCTAGGCTGGGTTTGAACCTGGCGTGACATTGGTTTTGGGGTAAGATAATTTATGTGAGGTAAAGTCACTGCAGCTGCTACTACAGGTTTCTCCCTCTCTTGCAACTGGTTCCAACTTAACATTTTGAACCATATTATGACAAAATTTGCTCCAGTAAGGGTGGGAAGATCTCTCACACCCAGATGATACCACACTGTTTTTCTAGGTAGTCCTTCCACAAAGCTGTCTATGGGGATATCCTTGTAATCTGCTGAGGTCATTGCAGGGTAAGCTTTATCCTGTAATATGTACAGGTCATCTGCATAAGCAGTCAAGTTTTCAGTGGTAACTTTCTTTCAAGTCTTGATTTTGGTCCTAAGGATTACTTTGTTTTCCACTGGGTTGAATGTCCAACACAACTCAGTAATGATTGTTTTGTATTTTCATAGTTCCTTCTCATTCAAGTGCTTGATAAAGTCCATCAATTTCAGTCATTTGCCTGCTTGAAATGCTTCAAGAAATGATGCAAATTGTTTCTTATCATACCGTTGGATGTCAGAGGAGTGAACTGCTTTGCCTTGCTTATGGCCAGAAACTCTCCTTCTTGACTATTATCTGACCAAGATGTCCTCAACATCATTGGCACAATGTGGTAGGAACTCTCAGAGGCCCAGTGCTCTGATAAGAGGTAGGTAGGCTTCTGAACCTAAATGGCAGAATGATGTGGTGTTCTAGGCAGCTCATTCACCATCTCTCCTCGAGCCCAAGCTCCTCTGTGATCCAGGGTTATCTAGTTGGTATACTTCATGGCTCAGGGAGGGTCACCACTAACCCATGATTTACTCACTTCACCATTTGGGTGCCTGCCACCTTACCTACTGATGAAATAGCCCCCATTGACAAACTTTGTCTACGACGAGCATCTCCGGTCTTTTCAAGCTAGTTTTGGGTGGCTTCAATCAGATCTGGAGTTCTGTTACTCTGGTTGGTGTAAATCTGTGAGTTTTATACACCCGCCCCACCCATCCTCAATCCATGTTTCCCTCTCACTAAGGCCCATTATGATGGGGGGGGGGAGTGATCAGCCAATCTGGGTACACTACTTTCTGACAGTTCTCCTTCCTGAGTCACAATGAGATCAAAATCATGGACCTTTAAAGCAACAGTCCAATATACAGGAAATGACTTCTCGTAGATCTGATAACTCTCTTGGTCACCCATCTTCCTTCAGTGACTGACTCACCCTTTTCATTTTAAATCATTGTTGTCGAAAATACCATTTTCTCTATCTTAAAAACTATTAAGCTTAATGTACAAGGGTTCAAGTAAAGGACAGTACAGTATACATTTTAGTAGATATAGCAAACGCCACAATAACAATACACTGTAGCCACTGAACAAAAATCACCTCCTACCCATCCACTATGTCATACATCCAGTTGAAAATTAATTAACTAAAAGTACACTGGATAAGTCCACTTGATAACTGGAGCTTATATCAAGATATTTCCTAGATGTAATTCCGCAGGGTCCTTGAAAGTGTTCTGTTTCAAGAGTAAAAAAAATAAAAAATTAAGAGTAACTATCATTTTTATATCATGCTGTGTTGTAGCTTACAGAGTGCATAATTCTTCTCGTGATTCATGGCATGCGGACGTTTTAATGACGTCACGACAGCACAAATTACAACTGACTGACAAACAACACACTACTGTATAGTGGTGCGAGTGGTTAAAACAGGTGACCCCTTCAGGCGGCATTCGGCTCCCTTTCGGAGAAATTATGGGGTAGTGCTAGTACTAAACCTGTTCCTGACTGAATTGATATTAAATGAAATAAAGAGACTGGACATAATGTATTAAGCAAAATGCAAAATCTTTATCATGACAAATATACATAGACACAGTGTGTATGTACTTATAGTTATAATTACCTTGAATGATTGCTTTTACTGTATCTTCCCTTCCAACTACTCAGGTTGGAAACATACACCAGACAAGACTGACCAGATGATGACGAAGTTCCAGACTGTACTAATTAACTGATGTTTAAGAACAGACTGGCTGATTGTAACATTCGTTAGTTTGTAAGAAACATTTAACTTACGCAGAGCGACTTGCATTTTCCGTATCACTGGAAATTCTCATTACAACCTATGTGGGGCCGTATAACCTCTACATATCACGTGAGCAGGAACACTACTGTCGACATCCTTACAGAATACGTACCCTGGGCGGTAGCATAGATCAAAATCTAGGTTGGCATTCTCGAATACACACATTTTATTAAACCTGCCTATGTACAGAACAGAATAAATAGTATTATATTATAATATGATAGAAACACCTGGTATATTATAATACCACAACAATTTGCTTTGTAAAGAAGTTTCTTTCTGGGCCAGAATAAACAAACCAGTTTGAGAAAGAGGAGTTTCGCCTTTGTAGAAATCTACTTTTCTAATTAGAGGCCCAATCTTTATTCCCCCCAAATACCCCAGCTACTTCTTTAAAAAGCAACATTTAGAGCATTTTTGGTGTTATGCCATGTTTACAGGTTGTTTTGTAAACACCTTCCATTTTGAAGTGGTTGAAAAATAGTTAACTATTGTTGTAAATATCCTATTTTTATCAAAAGTAAAAAATTGGAAGCGCCAAGCATAAGGAGACAACTTCAGTCTCGCCATTCTCGTGTTGAAGGTCTCAAATTTAGTTTGTGGAGTAACTTATTCAAAATTGGAGGCAAGTGTGACTTATCTAACGTAATATAATGCCAATCCCAAGGTTATTTCATCTTAAGGGTTTGAGTTGCAGTAATATTACTGTTAGAGGTCTACTGTCCTTGAATATTGTAAGTCGCCGAATTCTGTATAGGAAATACGCAGATCTGACCTTAGTTTGCGAAGGAAGAAATGCTAGGCCTAATACTAGTAATAGTAATGTTGATAAATTTCATCCAGTGATTACGAGTCAAACTATGCCAATTCACACATCTTCCATTGTATCCAGAGAAGTGGTAAGTTAGTTATTTAATAACTAATAGTATTTTGTCATGACATGATTTATTAACTAACCCTAAAAATAGTAATTCTTAGCCATTGAGCTGACTAAGCTTAGTTTTCCATTTCCTGTCTCCTTATTAGTTAATCATAAAATAAATACAAAGTTATGGAAAGCAAAATTGGGATTAATAAGTATATATCTTCTTTTGTAATTTTGAAAGCACAACAGAAACGGATTTATGATATGAATAAAACGTGTGTCTATGATCGTTTACCCACTAGAGGGCATTAAAAGTACTAGTTCCAAGATGTACTGGAAAACAAAAATTCTGAAAAGTTTCTTGCACTGCTCATGCAATCCTCAATTTTACATATGCCACAGCTAAACAAGAGGCTTTAATTTAAGAATAAACAAATTTGGGTCTTCTATATTGTTTAGGGTAAATAAAACCTAGAAACTCCAATTTTGGGTGAAAAACAACAAATCAGAAAAATTACTTGACCTTCTGAAGTTACCCTCAAATTCACATGTCATTAACAAATTGTGGAGCTATAAGATGAAAACTCAAAAAATAAAAAATTGAAGGTCTTCTGGGTCATCTTGCAAGTTGGGGCATCAATTCTATTAGATCAAACATGTGGATAACAGTTACTTCAGAAGTCACCCTAAATTCACATATGTGAAACAAAAACATCAATTTTAATTTATGAATTGAATAAAATTGACAAAACTACAACGATTGTATTAATTAAAAAAAACAACAAGAATATATTCTCATGAATACCTGCAAATTCTAGGATTTACACCCCAGTTTTTCCATTTTATGTTAAAACTTGTTTTTCTCTTCCATTTGTGAAATGGAACAACATTACTATTATTCAACAATACTAAAATGAATATTTTATTTCATTCAATATGACCAGTAATTCGTAAATTCAGATATTTGATTATGTTTCATACCACTAACAAAAGTAAACATTTACTTAGAATCAGCTGTGAGCAATTATTACACACAAATTTATGTTGCAAAGCTACAGAACTCTTCCCAGATTATAAAAAGAAATAAGAAGTGCAAGTAATTTTTCAAATTTTTGTTTTTCAGAAAATCTAGAAACTAATACTATATAGGTTTGATGCCACCTAGTGAATAAACAACCATAGAGGACTTATTTGTTTTCTTTGTATAATAAGTCCATCTACTTGTAATTTAAAACAAAAATAGATGAAGATATGTATGTTTGAACATTTATTTTATTTTCTGTTATTACTTTCCATACCCTTAATATTTTTAGATAAAGAAGTAACCGATTACCAAGTTCTGACTTGTGTTGGATTGTGCTAGTTCCAAGTTCAACTTTAATTATGTAGTTAATTTTTACATTGATTTTAGTCAATCAGATAAAAGACAAAATGTATATGTATTAAGTGTTTTCAATTTTTTGTCAATCACTTATGTAGGTCAGTTGTTTATTCTTCTGTTGTATTGTAAAATAAACATGACTTCTAGGTCAGTAGGTTAAAAGATAATATATTGTCTTTTATTTTGATGTGACACTATTCAAGTAATGAGGAGACACTCCTTTTCTAGTACTCTAAAGTACATGTACACTAAGGGAAGTGGGATTCACTACGGAAGCTAATTTTATTTCACATCCCACCTGTTTCCATAAACGTGATTAGTAAGCAACTGTGGAGTTTTGCATTTACACATTGCTGTGTATAGGTAAAATGTTTTCTTGTGTGTCTGTTTTTACTCAGCATTTGAAGCTCTTAAGCTAGGGTGCAACAAAAAACTGTCAACTTTGTTCAGATCTGTCTAACTTTGTGTGACATTCTCACTATGGCTAAAGCAACAAGTGTCAAGGATTCCTATTTGAAGAAAAAGATGCAAAGGATAGAGAAGATGTTGAATAATATAACAAACCGAAATGTAAGTTGTTGGACTGGCTACTTTTTGGACATTATGTCCAAAACCTGAATGATGTAATGGCTATACGAAGTGTATTACAGAAGTGCCACGAGAATATTTCCTAGGAATAACTTCATATTACGTGATATATAAATCTGTTTTGTATGTGTTATTATAAATTGTAATTTCATTGCTTTTTCTCAGGACTTCAGAATAGAGACCGATACTTTTGGTGAACTCAAGGTCCCAGTAGATAAGTACTATGGAGCTCAAACTATGCGATCCATGATGAACTTCAACATTGGTGGGCAGTCCGAAAAAATGCCCGTAAGTGTTGTTTAGAATATTTCTAGTTATCTGTTTTCAATAGTGATAGACATTTTATATGTATGCACAAAGTTCAGAGTATACTGTTTGCATAAAAGAATAAAAGTTACAATGTAGTTACTTTAGATATGTACATAGTAATTCATTAACAATTAACAAGTTGATTAACTTGTTTTTGTTGTTGTTTCCCAGAATATTTTAAGATTTTTTATGAGTATTTTATTGTATTTTAGAAACAAATTGTGTTTTTCTGCTATATTGATATAAATGTGTACATGTTTTCAGTGCAGCTAGTTATATCAGTTACACACTATTCTTAACTGTTATATATACTTATAAACATTAGCAAAGTGTTTTCAATTGGGCAGAAACATGTTTCTTTAAAAAGAGCACAGAAGGTTTTATATGGTGTTTCTGTATTTTGGACAAGTTGAAATCTTCAGTTATACTGTATATATTTCACTTGTATATTTTGTATAATATTTGTAAATGTGTTTTGTCTCTTTTAAAAGCAGTTATTTTATTCACCTAGATAATATATTTTACCAGTCTTTGTGTAGTAAGTTATGTTGGAGTAAAAATAGATCAGACTCTTGGGTACTTTAATAAGAAATCTTACAAAGTGATTGGGATTGAAGCCTAGATAACTAAGTTAGTAGAACATTTGAAGATCTCTTCTTCAGGCTGTCACTCAGGATGGTTTGTTTTTCACATCTTCTGGGTCATTACTAGTGATTAAACAGACCAGTGTTTCTCAGACTGGGGGTCCAAACATTGTAAGGTTAATGTGTGTGTATGGGGGAGGGTAACAGAAAATATTGGAATAACAGATATTTTAGAGTATGTACAGCAACTTTGTGTATGGGGAGCATCACAGTCTGAAATGTTTTAAAAGGGGTATCCAACAAAAAATGTTTAAGAACCCCTGACTCAGACTGTGAGCACAATGTTGGCCTTATGTAAGGATACAGATGTCTTATGAAATTAAAAACAAAAAGCAATATTGAATATGTATTATGATAAATCTTATCTGTTGAGCTGTTATGAAGGGGTTTTAATATTCACACACCTGCGTGCAGTGACCATTCAAGCTACCCATCTGTTTGTTTCAACACAGATATTTAAGATTGGTCTTCTTGATGAGAATGCTCTATGATTGTAGTGAGATATTCAAGCTACCCATCTGTTTGTTGCAACACAGGTAGTTAAGATTGGTCTTCTTGATGAGAATGCTCTATGATTGTAATGAGATATTCAAGCTACCCATCTATTTGTTTCAACACAGGTAGTTAAGATTGGTCTTCTTGATGAGAATGCTCTATGAATGTAGTGAGATATTCAAGCTACTCATCTGTTTGTTTCAACACAGACAGTTAAGATTGGTCTTCTTGATGATAATGCTCTATGATTGTAGTAAGATATTCAAGCTACCCATCTGTTTGTTTTAACACAGGTAGTTAAGATTGGTCTTCTTGATAATGCTCTATGAATGTAGTGAGATATTCAAGCTACCCAACTGTTTGTTTCAACACAGGTAGTTAAGATTGGTCTTCTTGATGATAATGCTCTATGATTGTAGTAAGATATTCAAGCTACCCATCTGTTTGTTTCAACACAGGTAGTTAAGATTGGTCCTTTTGATGATAATGCTCTATGATTGTAGTAAGATATTCAAGCTGGAGAATTGTCTTCATGTAATTTGAAGCCCTGGTAATTATATTTGTAAAAGATATGTTTGAAAACATTATTAATAGTTAGTTCCTTAAATTTCAGTGCTGCACAAGGCAGATTTTTTGATATTATGGTGTATTATAAAATATGTCTTCCATATAGATAATTGATGGTCAATAAATTACTTAAATTTGCAGATGATATTAAGTTCTTGGGTACTGCTAGCTGCTAATTTACAAAAGGATTTAGATCATTTAATAAGTTGGGCAAATAAATGGCAGGTGGTTTTCAATTATACCAAATTCAAAGAAATGCATGTGAATTATCATAATTTGAATTGTAAGTATGACTTGAATGGGAATAACCTTAACAGCTTTATGGAAGAAAAGTATCATAGTGTTCTATTTGATCAGTCTTTTAAGCCATCCAAAGCAGTGTGATGTTATTAGTGGTAGGGCAAATAGGAGTTTAGGTTGTATCTACAGAAATATTGAATACAGGTCTGAAGAGGTTTTAATTTCATTGCATAGGTCACTGGTTATGCCACATTTGGAGTACTGTGTTCAGTCTTGGGCTCCTTACCTGAGGAAAGACATTGAATTGTTAGAAAGGGTTTTAGAGAAGGATTACTAGAATAGTGTCTGGGATGGAGAGGTTGTTATACGAGGATAGGTTGAATTCTGTTAAATTATTTTCTCTTGATAAAAGAAGAGTTAGTGGAGATCTGATTGATGTTTTTAAGATTGTAAAGGGAATTAATAGTGTTGATGCATCATTTTTTTTCATATTTAACAGTGAGAATAGTAGGATTAGGGGACACAACTATATATTTTCGCAGGGTAGGAATCATCTTCAGATAAGGACAGTTTTATTTTTCTAACAGGATAGTTGATCTTTGGAAGGGTTGCCTTCGGATGTTGTGGAGGCAGTAAATTTAAGTGAGTTTAAGAGAAAGCTTGATAACTATATGAATGATAAGGGCTGGCTTTAAGATTTTTATTTATTTATTTTGTCTAATTAATTAATTGGATTTTTAGTTTAGTTTATAGGATGGGACAACCAAGATGGACCAATAGGTCCCTTGTTGTCCTTAAACATTATGTTATGTTACATACTGGTTATGAACTGAATTATTACAGAATTGAGGAAAATGAAGAAAATTGTACATTTCACAAATATTTCAATTATTTTTAACCATGGTTTTGCCAGTAAAGGTATTATGAGGTTCAGACAAAAACAGTTTGTAAACCTGACAGTACCTTTACTGGCAAAACCATAGTAGGAATAAATGAAATATTTGGGAAACATTATCTCTGCTTTCCTCATTTCCGTAATTATGGAGTTCTACCAAGTACTGACGGTTTTAAGTATGAATTACAAGAAATGATTATTATTTGTATGAGTGAAAGCAAAGATCACCAGTTTCAATGTCATTTACAAAAAATGCATTTTTTATTTGAAAGGAAGAAATTAAATTTATTACCAATTTCAATATTCTAAGAGATAAAAATGTTTTTAGTATGCACTGTGTGATGTCTCTCAGTGGCTGAGTAAACTTCAAGGGCATATACTGCTGAAATTTAGGTTTGATTCCTATGGTGGACACAAAGCAGCCCATTGTGTAGCTTTGTACTGAAACAAACAAGCACTTTGTGAATTAGAAAATAAGCTCATCATGTTACTGTTTAATTTCATTTTAATTTAGTCATATATCAGTAAGTTATTTATTTTGAATGATAAGTGTAAGCAAGACGTGTACAGCAGGCTTTACAGCTGTGTGATATCCCTTATGATATAGTTTAGGTAATGTTGACATTAAGATTCTTTTCTAGACTGATATATTTGTGCGAAGTTGTACGTTACTTCACAAAACTATTAAATATGAAAAGTAAAATAAATATATTTTTGTATGTGGTGGTATTTTTTACTTAATTTTGTTTGTTACTTGAATAGTTTTCTATTCTTTAGCTCCCAGTGATAAAGGCATTTGGCATTCTGAAAAAGGCAGCTGCTGAAGTCAATCAGGAGTTTGGCCTGGACAAGAAGATAGCTGATGCAATATGCCAAGCTGCTGATGAAGTAAGTTCAATCTTTCTACATATCTGTATAGGTCATCCTTGTCCTTATAAGAGTGCTAAACGTAACAAGTTAACTCTTGAAATGCAATAAATCCACTTCATTTTAAATATATAACAGACAACATTTATATAGGTTGTTTTTTGAGTGTCAGGTTTAAGACTGCATAGTTTAGTACAAACACAAATAGATTTAGAACTCATTAACTGGGTTTGTATTGAGGATATTTAAACTTTTCAGGTTATTGATGGAAGTTTGCAAGACCACTTTCCTCTTGTAATTTGGCAGACTGGCTCTGGGACCCAAACCAACATGAATGTCAATGAGGTCATTGCTAATCGAGCTATAGAAATCCTGGGTGGGAAACTTGGGAGTAAAACTCCAGTTCATCCAAATGATCATGTGAATAAAAGCCAGGTGAATATGCTACAAGATGTTTTTGTTTGATTTGTTATTTTACATTTTTTGTAAATACTTTTTATAGGTAGTAGATTTTATCTTTGTGTCAAACAAAAGTAGTGCTCCATTTGTGAAAACATATGCTAGGAACATCAAAATCACAAATGTTTTGCTGATGTTTTTTATCTAACAAATATTGTTTGACATTTGGAAGTCTCAAGTTACTTAATGAATAGTCCCTTTATGACATGTTACCTAAAATGTCCCATATAGAACGCTGTGTTTGATTTCATCTATAGACACAATATTTTAGCACAACATAATATTGAATTTGTTTTATAATCTTAAATATTTTTGTCAATAAAGCTTAAAAAACAAGCAAAGAATGACCTTTATCGTCCAGATAATTATAAAAAACTTTATTTCAGCTGCCATTTTACCATTGTGGTTTTATCAGATCTAGTAGTACTAAAATATTCTTTTTTTGAGATTGGTGAAGTTGCTTCTTTCTAAGACAATTTGATTTGTACATATGATTTTTTTTTTTTACATTTTAAATAGCGCTTATGTTCATTCTTGGTTTTGAGTAATTCATTGTATGTGTGTTTTTTTATATGAAATAATTGCATTATTTTTTTTTATTTTTTAAGAGCTCCAATGATACGTATCCTACAGCAATGCATATTGCAGTTGCTATGGAAATTGAATTAAGCCTCCTGCCTTCTTTAAAGACTTTGCATGAAGCTTTGCTAAAGAAATCAGAAGAGTTCAAAGACATTGTAAAAATTGGAAGGACTCATACTCAGGTGAAAAACTGAGTCTGTTTCTAAAATGATATAGGTGCTGCTGTTTTATATGTATTTTTTTGGGTATAAATGAAACAAATTTTTGGAACTGTGAAGTGTTTGGATTGATTGGTTGCTTGTTTGTAATAGAGATAATGAACTTTCTGCAGATGTATAGTAATTCTAAATTGCTGACTTGATTTAGAAAACAAAAAGTATTATTGGTGTTTCTGTTTTTTAATTATTTTCGCCATGTCATAATTTCAAAAACAATCCTGTAAAGTAAAATAGCTATTAGTAAAAGTATAAAAACATGATTTGTTTGTGATTTTGTATGCACCATTTCCCCCTCTTTTGTGAAATAAGATTCAGTTGAGGGTTATAACTGTGTCTACTAATATCATCTTATTCATACATTTATCACAAAGTTTAATTAATTTTTCATAACATAGGATGCTGTACCCCTGACACTGGGTCAAGAATTTGGTGGTTATGCTGCCCAACTAGAAATGGGCATTGAACGTGTGAAAACAACGCTTCCAAGACTGCATTGCTTAGCAGCAGGTAAAAACAGTAATCAATATTGTGAAAAACTATCATTGAAATGGTTTTAGCAGTGTTCTCTGCATCTTTACATTTATGTTTATATGGATCATTTCATTTAGGCCTTGTCTTTGTCTTAGTTATTTCATCAAAATACATATACTAATATTTGATGGTATTACACTAAGGTTATAATTTTATCTGTATAAATTAATTTTGTTTTGAAGTTATCCTTTAGCAATTAGATTTTGCAAATAGTGTTTAGTAAGTTAGGCTAAAATAGTGTACAAGTATAAAAAAATCATTGCCACTGTAAGATTTTTATGAATTAAAGGAAAATTTATACTTTTTGAGTTTATAGGCCTTGTATAGTGTGAAAAGATTGATTTTGTTCCTGAATTTTAAATATTATTTAACAATATAGACTTTTTTAGGATATAATTTATACCATATGACAACAAAAATAAGTTGCATGTTTTGCTAGTGAGTTATACACATATACATATCTTTTTTTTTCATTAAAAAACAAGGTGGAACTGCTGTTGGAACTGGGCTGAATACTCGCATTGGTTTTGCTGAGAAAGTTGCATCCAAGATTGCTGAAATTACAGGTAAAATTTTATGACATTAATCTACTTGTTCTGTTGTAACCAGATGCTGCATTAACCCTTTCACTATGGACTGGGTGGAATCCACCCAATTCGTAACCACGAAAATATCCATGACAGTAATTATACTATGATTTTTGATAATGTATGCACATCTTTACAAAATTTTGCAGGTTATTGGTAAACTTTACAAGGTTTTCATACACAAAATATCAAGTTTCAATTATTATGTGTTATATATTTATATACGTTGTTTCTATTTACAAATAAGTTCTTAAAGTTATTTTTCTTAAAACATAGAACAGTAAATAAAGAAGTAAAGTAAACAATTATCTCTTCTAGTTATGACCTTTGTACTCGTTTGCCGCTTGTCATAGGTTGCTAAGCCTTATGAAATTTCCTACGTGGAGGATGTGAAAAGAAAATTTTTTTTAGGTTTTATATATATACATTTTAAATAACCAAAAAATCCTAAATTACTATATTGATACCATAGAATTCCACTATAATTTATCAAGCTTAGTAACTAAGCTGTATTTGGGTCTAAAAATATGAAATTCAGAGCTCACTAAAGACTTACCTCATCGTTTGAAATCTTGTGTGAAAAGAACGAAATTAGCAGAATAACGCATCAAAATGGCTGAGAAAACCACTTGGGGACGTTCTGAGCTTTTGATTGGTTATTCATGTCATATATAGAAGTGTATATATATATATAAGAGACTGTTTCTAAAAATGGAAAGAGGTGGGGTAGGGCCACTGTTTGATTCAGTACAAGAGTGATATCTTAACAAATAATAGAAAAGTTAAGAGGTTCTTATTTTATATTCTAGCTTGTCAATATCGGTAGTTTGAGTTCCTAATTTGTACAAAACTATAGATGTAGTATTTTGACATCACAAACATCTTGAATCAGTGCTGCATTCAACATACCACATGACACACAAAAATCGATGTTTA